TCCAGTCCAAGATCAGCCAAACTGTTGCTTTGGGCCTGTGTTGAGACTGTGGATGGCAGTGACAGGAAGCACAGGTTGGAACAAACTGCTCATCTCATGACCTGAAAGCAAAATGGAAACAAGAACAGGATGGATCTTCCAATCACCTTCAGGGGCAGCCAATGATCTGAAGCGCTACCTGATCACATCCCCATAGAGCCACCTGTGACTAAGTCATTAACACAGAGGGCTTTTGGGTAAAGTGTTACCTACTTTTCCCATGGCTAAAATAAGACATCAGACACCCACAAGTTAAAGAAGAAAGTTTATTGAATTCCAGCATTGTAGAGGTTTCACCCAACAGTTGGCTCCCTCCAAGGCAAGATAACAGTGCACACGCTAGCAGAGAGGAGAAACAGTGCATGCTGGGAAGAAGGTAGCAAAGAAACAAGCGATGAAGCATGCTCTTTTTGTCAATTATATCTTATCCTGGTTACTTAGAGTGCAGGCATTCACATCATTTGTTCCAGTACTCTCAATCTTAGCATTGCAGCATTAATCAGCTCTCCTGTCACGTGCCCTGATCCTGCCACATTTGCAAAATTCATAACTCTCTTGCTGCAATGCACACTGGCGGGACATCTAGACATAGCCATAGCGTTGCAAACCTGCCCTGACAGAGACTCACACACATCCCTTTATGCAAAGGATATTTACTCCATATCTGAGAGTTACCCAAATCCTATCAGGGTCACCATTGCTGAAAAGTCCAGTTCCAAAGTCAGCTCTGACATTTAAGGTGAATTCTTAGCTGAAAGTCCCTATACACTCCAAAAGAAAGGGAAACACATGCAATAATCAATGACATCAGACAGACACTTCCATTACCAAACTGACAAAAGGGGTATAATAGAGAATAGGACCAAAGCAACACCAAAATCTAGAAGAGAATATATTAACTCCAACAGTTCTATGTCCAGCATACCCAGCAATCTGTGGCAAATTTTGAACTCTGGAGGGCTTGAGTGGCTCAGGTCCTACAGCATGTCTGGGGGTTGTAGACAATGAGAGGAGAAATTTGCGGGAGCCTCAAGGTCAAAAGCTCAAAACAGGAGACAGACCAGCCAGGATAGTGCATCTTTCCAGGGAGCTGGTGCTGCAACCAGGAAAGGGAGCTTCTGGCCCAAGTCAAGGTAGCACATGACTGCCTGTGATGCCTGCATGGAACTGACCAGGGGTGCCACATGGCCACGGCAAGTGTGCATTCTGGACAAAAGAAGAAGCACATACATTGAGGAGATACACATTGACAATTCAAATATATGTGTTCACACTG